ACAAAAAAAAAATAGAGTGAAAAGAAAAAAAATAGCTTACTAGCAATAATTTATCCATTTTTGCTTTTAAAGTGTACACTCACCTTTTCACTATTTAAGTAAAGTAAAAGGAAAAGGGAAAAAATACCTTGTTTGATATTTTATTTTTTCTTTTTAAGAGTAATTCAATAATTTAACTGAGAAAAGAAAATGATTGAATTACCTTTAAAGAAAAATTTATTCATTTTTTAGGAAGGATAAAAATATAATTATTTTGTAGCAATGAATTGAGTCTATAACCATAGTGTTTTCCCTTTTATTTTAGCTTTTTTCTTATGGCCGAATAGTATTTGGCATTGCAAATTGGTTATGTTATAGATGGGCAACATAGTTTTTTATGAACTATTTAAGATCAGCTTAGATTGATGAAAGTTAAAACACTAGTTAGAAACAATATGATAATGTTTGGTTACTGTCTTGAGATAAAAGGAACAAAGACAATGGAAATATAAATATAATTAGTTGAAAAAACAGAGACATAAAATTAATCATTTCTGAAATAATTTTGGAGTGAATTTTTGTATTTTCATAATAGAAGGTACAAATAGAACATGTCTTCAGAAACAATATTTATTATTTTTTATTTCTAAAATATCCTTATAAAAAACTATCAATTCTAAAATTATCAAACTAAAACATGTAAGGATAAAATAGTTATTATCATAGTTTTAAAACACAACTCGGGGTTAATCTAGGGAAAATCTTGGGTCACAAGTTGGGTTAACTTGAGTCAGTGTAAAAATAAAAATAAAAATTATTATATTTTTAAAATTCAAATTGGGAATTGCCCCAGGATAAGGCCAAGTTATGTGTTTGGAGGGTTAATTCAGATTGACTCGGGTCAATATAAAAATAAAAATGATTATTATCATAGTTTTAAATCTTGATTAAAGGGCTAATCAAGTGCAAGTCCGGGGATATAAATCGGGAGGGTCAACCTAAGTTAATATAAAGATAGAGTTGTTATTATCATAATTATAAAACCTGACTTGAGGTTCAACAAGGGCAAGACCCAGGTTACGAGCCTTGAGGGTCAACTTGCATTGGCTCGAGTCAATGTATGGATAAAGATGATTATTATTATTATAATTTTAAAACATGACTAAGAAGTTGACCTGAGGTAAAGTTTAAGTCATGAGTCAAGGGTCAACTCGGTTGACCAATAGTTTTATAGCAGGTCAAGTTGATTTTTTGACCAGTCTAAGCCTTGAATCAGTTTGGTATAGGGTCAACTTGCCAAGCCAGTCTTGGTTTTATTACTAGAGTTATTATAATATTATTAATTTTAATACTTAGTATAAACTAAAGTAAAAAAATAATAAAATAATAAAACCTAATTATTTAGAACAAAAATATAAGTTTGACAATAATATTTATTAAGGATAAAATAATTTTTTTCATATTGTTTTTTATGTTTTGTCCACCATAATTAAATAAGATATAAAGATAATCAATTTATTTTAAACACTGTTACCAAGCATAATTTTGTTCCCGTCTTTTTTTCCATCTTATATCCTCTATCTCTGTTGTCTATGTCTTTTCTATCTTAAAACAATAACCAAATAGTACCTAAGAGCAAAAAGAGTCACATATTAACAAGAATTAATCGAGGAGGGGAAATTACTATTTTTTAATATTAGATTCATTGAAAATTAAGCTTTATAATTTATTTTAATTTACTTTTCATGAAATTATCTTAGTTTTATAACCTTATTCATGAGTTTTATTGGTTAACCTGATTGTTTCAAGTTTTTTTGTTCTTTTTTTAATTATTTTTTTTTCAATTTTATTCTTTACTATTTGGATTGATTAAAAATTTAATTTCATAATTTATCTTGATTGAGATTTAAACTTCATAATATATTTTGATTTTTTTCTATCAGCTTATGTTAATCTAATGATTTAGGTTTGATAGGTTATCTTAGGTTGACTTGGGTTTTTTTATCCTTTAATATATATATATATATATATATATATATATATTTATCTTGATTGAGATTTAAACTTCATAATTTATTTTGATTTTTTTCTATCAGCTTATCTTAATCTAATGATTTAGGTTTGATTGGTTATTTTAGGTTGACTTGGGTTTTTTTTATCCTATAATATATATATATATATATATATATGTTTTTTTTTCAACATTAAATTGATTGAGAATTAAACTTCAATATGTTTTTTATTTGATTTTCATAAGGTTATTATGGTCTCGTAAATCGAGTCATAAATTTTTCATATTAATTTAGGTTAACTCGAGTCGATCTAATATGTTGTTGTTTTAATTTTTTTTAAAGCATTTCGTATTGAAACTATTTTTTGTCAAACTATATATATATTTTTTGTTATCTAAGTTGCCATTGTACTTGCTTAGTTTACACAGTTTAAATTTTTTTTCCTTTTGAAAACACATTAACAATGCCTAGATATTTGTTGTAATTTTTTTAAAATTGATTCGACATACAATGTAGCGCTGATAAATGATCTAGCCAATAAATCTAAAAGGCGTGAGAAAAACACTGCATATCCATAATATTTTTCCATTTTGACCCTTTAAAAGGAAACCAAATAACTTGTTAATAAGAATATTTTGATCTTTTTACAAGGGTCCATTAATCATTACCACATCAACGAGGGTATACTAATATTCTCATGATTGTTATGCATAGTAAAATGATTTTATTACCTTTAAAATTAAAATTTTCAAAGCTAATACTAAGGGGTGTTTCAATCCTTTAAATCTCCTATACACTATAAATTAACTAAATTACTTCTAAAATTTAAGTCTCATTTCTTAATGTTATAAGTAATTTGGTATTTTTGAAATGCTTATTTTTATTTATTTATTTATAATAATCAGGTTAGCAAAGGGACTATTAATGAAATTTTATTTTTTGAAAAACAACAAAATCACCTAATTGTCCTCAGTATAAAAAAATAAATTAAAGCTTTCTTACATAGGCTTTTTCATCTTTTAATGATCATCTTTTTTTGCTACTTATTAGGAGGACTAAAGAACATTTTGGTCTCTTAAAAAATATAAAATATTATTAAAAATAAAAAGTAGTTGACACATGTCATGGATAGACCTTAGCTTTTTTTAGGTATTTATATAAAATTAATTTATTTTTTATTTCATCTTTTAACATTTGATTTTTTTAATTGGTCTTCATGGTTTTTTTTTTTTACTTTTCTTTATAAAGGGTTATCCCAATATTGGGTTGATTTGAGTTTCATTTTCATCAATTTTTTTAATTGGTTTTTATGGTTTCATTGCTAAGTATTTTTTTATTAAAAATTTTGCTTTGTTATTTTTTAGGTTTACCTTTAATATCGCCAGCCTTGGCCTCATGAACACAATCAACTTCTTTTTATTTTTTATAAATTAACTTTTTATAAATTTATTATTTATCATTTAGTTTTTTTGAAAAATTATATTTTTTTTATTTTTTTTAAAGATCTATTTTAATCCTGTGCCTATGATTACGGGGTTAGTGGATTAATAAATGTTGGTTCATTTTTTTTTATTTTTATTATTTGCATTTTCTCCATTTGAATGTTTAATAGTCAAGTTTTATAGTTTTATTCAATTTATTTTAGTTAATATTTTTTTATTTTTTATTGTCATAAATAATTATTTGACTGAAAAATTAATAATCAATATTATTGATAAATTGAGTGGATAACGTCTAAAGCATGTTTTTCCTGTTTAATTTTTGTCAAAGGATTCAAATTAAGTCTTAATTCCATATTATGTGTTTCATTTTTAAAATAAATTCTAATTTTCTAGTTAAGGACTGATTTTTAAGTTGGTGGATTTTTCTTTCATTTAGAGCAAGTAAGGTAGGTCTCATGAGTGCTAGTATTTAAGGAGAGTTTTCTTTATTATAATTCCTTGATCTATCTTATATCATAACTTCATTATAAGCTTTCTTCAATTCTCTGCAACTTATCTTTTTTTACAACTTATTTTTGTAAATTTAATTACATTTTTATACTTTATCTTCTTTTTTTTTTGTTACATTTTTCTTTACCATTTATTAAGATTCTACTCTTTTCTCTCTTAATGGGAAGGAATACGATTTCCAGTAGAGACAGCATTTTCCACAAATAAGATTTTCTTATAAGAGATAAAAAATATTCCATCTTTTTTGGACTTTTCCTTCTTAATTGGTAATCTTTTCATAAATTGTGGTTCTATTTGACAAAGATGTTAATGCAATTGATAAATCAAATTGTAATAATTCTAGAACTTTTTCACGACAATTATGTAATGCGAATTTCTATGTTTACCTAATTCATTATCTCCAGGCTTCATCTTCTGCTCAAAGCAAAATGGAACTCAACTTTGGGAGGTTAGGTTGGTAATTGTATTTTGCTACAGTCAATTACTTGTATTGGACGTAAATGATCTCACCTAAAAAGTAACAAGGTAGCGAAAACCTGACTTTTGGAGACAATACATGCACTACCAGCCAGTTGTAGATCTTTTATATTAGCAAGGATGATGATTTTTCTTATTTAATTAATCATTTGATTTTACACAGGAAGACCACAAGAAACAACATTAATGTCCTCAAATAAATTTGAAATGGGAGTGACATTATCGACTTTGACATGCCATGCAAATTATATATGCGTAGGTCAAAAACTTGTCTCACTTGGACCCATTTTTAGGGTTTTAAGATTAAACGTTGATGTTTGTCCCACAGATGTAAAAAGAAACATATCAGGTAGTTTCATCCACTCAATCTTTCTGAGGGACATCAGTCATTTAATGTTTAGAAACCTGCTAGTACAAGAGTTCGCAACAGCAGAATTATGATGGAAATATTATATTCATGCTTCAGATTCTTATAAGGAAAAATATTGCTCTAAAAGGAACTTGCAGCTACAGGTAAAAATAGGCAGTTTCAAATATTTGGAAAAATATGGTTGTATCCAATTTGTACAGAAGTATAGTTCAATCTTTCCCGAACAGACTCTACACGTAAAACAATAAAAATGATAGTGTTACATAAGATTTTAAATGAACGAATTGTGTTTGCTGCGCCAAGATCTAGCATGTATTTTATGGCCTTTCCAATATACTCTCGATGATTATCCAACAAAAAAAGAGCTAGCATGTATCGATGCTTGTTGAAAGAGTACTGTTTCACTAGGAGTTATGTGATCATGATGATGCCAAACTGCAAACAACAGAAAAAAGATGTTAAATTTCTTACAAATAATGATGATGAACATAAAAAGCCAATGAAGGATGTAACTTTGAAAAATTTAAATGCAATGGAAACCTGATGGCAGTAAGAAGAAGAAATGAATAAATGCAACGAAAAACTGAGTACCTACTCCAAAATATCATTCCAGTAGGAGCTATAGTTTTCATCATCGATCAGCTTCTCCCAGGCCTCAAAGATAGTGGAGGTAGGCGTGCCAGTGGAGTAGTTTGATGGGTCACCCTTGCGTTCTTTTTGGTAAACGATGGAAGTAACAGGGGAAGTTGAGGCTGAAACCAATGCAGGAAGTGGATTTTGTTCCGTTTGAATACCGTAGGAACTACTCAAGGTGTCACTGTTGATGTTAACGCCTTCAGGGCCGAATCCATCTTCACAGCTTGCCCATAAATTTGAGATAGCTTGGAAGTCATTGTGAACTTGAGGAGTTACAGGTGGGTTAACAAGATCCTGAGATGTTGGGGTAGGTTCATTGGTATTGGAGATGGATGTCCCATTGACGAGTCCTCTAAACTGGTGAGGATTTTGGGATCCTGACAGACTGTTGCTCTCAATATTTGTTAGTGTGTTTGTATTCATCATCTGTAATAGATTCCGCAACAACTGGATATTGGCTAATTGAGTGGCTTCTGCCTGTAACTTCAGAAAATTGTTCCATGGACTTGCAATGTTGCCAAATTGTGCCGCACCAAGCAACTGAGAGAGATTCAGAAAATGACTTAGATCAGTCCTTGGCTTGTGCGTATTTGGGTCAATCCCCATTTGAAGAAGCTTCTTTCTTATGTGAGTATTCCAAAAGTTTTTTATTTCATTGTCAGTCCGTCCGGGAAGATGGCTAGCAATCCTTGACCACCTTCAAGTTCAAGTAAATGGAATTAAGGACAAATACTGATAGCACAAATACTTATGCTAGCTGAGAAGGAAAAAAGAAGAACTGCATACTTGTTTCCAAGAACAGAATGAAGGTTGACGATGACTCGTTCTTCTTCCTCAGAAAATTTCCCTCTCTTAATATCAGGCCTCAGATAATTTGTCCACCTCAATCGGCAGCTCTTCCCACATCTATTCAACCCTGCAAGCTCAGGCAGTGCTTTCCAATTTTCATGACCATTTCTCTTAATATAATCAATTAGCTTCTCATCCTCGTCCGGCGTCCATGGCCCTTTCTTCAAGGCACTGGCGTGGCTGCATGGAGATCTAACCATTCTTTCAAGACAAGTTTAATAGAAATAAACCGAAACAAGATTAAATATTGGAGAAGCTATGGATTGAAATGTCTGAAATACCAGACCACCTTAAGGTGCTATGACTTCTGTTTCTTATGAGACATATCGGTGCTTATATAGATGCATGAGAGACGTGCTTGAAACGATAAAGGTCATTTTCATTCTTTTATTAGTATGATAATAATTCTTATAAAATCAAGGCAAATAGGGGGAGGTCGATCTCATAATGAACATCTAGGTATTATTTCAACAAGGAGAAACCAATAAGCAACTATAAAGGCAATAAAATCATCAAAGATTAGGTACTGCAAATGTCACGTGAAAATATTAATATGAATTCTCAGAAAGTGGACCCATAAAATTTCTCCTCAATTTATATTGATCCTTTAATGATAATTAGGTGATCAGTTAAGTCCCTAATGCTAGATAGACACAAGGCCATTGAAGAGAGACAAAGCTTTAGTTTAACTTTTTTTTAGCTATAAATATAATTGTTCTTGATGCCTTTGCATTTGGGCTGACGAAGAAATTGAAATTTGAAAAACATAGTAGAGAGTATTTGAATTTTTTTTTTCTTACAAGGGGATGCTTGTTGAACTATACAAAATTAAATAGAAATACTAATGAGCACGATGTTACTACTTATATATGATCTTAAATAGATCTAAAATTATTATTTATATATGACCCATTATAATCCGAGGGGTGTTATTTCTTTGCTTTTCTTTATATATATATAATTTGGACTGTCCATATATAAAATGGCAAAGCAAGTCCTCAAGCGCAAGATTTTTCATGGAAATGTTGATTTACTTTTGGGTATACCTCAGCATTGATTTTAGGAGATTTCTTCTTGGAATAAAATGTCTATGCACAAGGAAAATTTAATTTTGTGGAAAATGCTTCAGTTTTCTTACCTTGCATTTTACCTTCATTTCAGCAAAACCTTTACCTAACATGTTGACTCTTTGTTGAAGTTCACAGAGCTAATAATAAACTCAGAAAATCTTCAAACCAAAAAATAAAAATAAAAATCCATCTTATTGAGTTGATGAGTCTAGAAATTCTCATCCAAACAAAACTTCCTCCTGATTCAAATAGTATCTTTTTTCTTTCAGTCTTTCATTCATTTATCTTTAAATATTCTAAATTAAAACTTTTTTATAAATCAAATGATTAAAATAAGATTAGAGTTTTTTTTGTAGTAATATAAATAATTGGATTATGAATAATACTATATAAAACTGATTTTAATAATTTCAATAAAATTTGATGAATATTAAAAAATTATTAAGCAATTATTTTTTATTTCCTATTCTTTACATTGTTTTTGAAATATAATTATTACTTTGTTTGACACAATCTTCTAAAAAATGATATATATATATATATATATATATATATATATATATATATATATATATATATATATATATATATATATATATATATATATATATATATATTATTTTACTCATATAGTAAATGTTTATTGGGTGGCTGCGGCATCAAATTAATTAACTAGTTAATCCACTAAAGCTACCAACTAGGATTCTTGAGGTATTTAGTTAATTATTTTCTTATAATATTCTTGATGCATCATCTTGTTGGTCAGCATATTTGGCAGTTCTTACATCCTTTGAAGCTTTAGGTCCCCTGTCTCGAAATATCAAAATATAATTAGTCTCCAACTGCCCTTGTAATGCTGCCAACGCATGGTTGATCATTTCACCCACATAAAAAGAATTGAAGAAGAAGAAGAGAATTGCATGGTGTTGAACAGCCGACATTCATTTTCCCAGCCGAAGCTGTCACGTATTCACTCACTCGACGCCAACCTTCCCCCTTCACTTCTACCTGAAAGTTTCAGTTTCGATTCAAGTTCAAGATATCCTCTATTTATGTTTAAAATAGCCCTATATATTTCATCCACTAAAATAAAAATAAATTGATGGAAAAAAGGGAGACATCAGCCATAATTAGGTATATAACTAATTAAATAATTTACTTTGGCAATATTTAATATCGTTTTGCATTAATTTCAAAAGGATCAGTTAATAATGCAGTAAAAAGAAAAAGAATTGTATTTACTGTACAACCAGAAGTTTTCTCAGTTTCTGTAAAGCTTCGTTGCTAACCCTAAGAGCACCAAAATGACCTAACGTACGTTGCCATCACCTTCACTTGGAGCCCTCGGCCGACATTAGGTATTTTGGTCAACGTATAGCGCATTGAGAAATCCCATCAGGGATTCATTCAAATCATGTTGAAGGAAATTGATAAATATATTCTATTTGCTACATATTTCTTAATTCCAATACGTAAACACAAGAGTGAGCTTTAATTTTCTGGAAGGTTATAAACACAGTAGTAGCATCATATAATAATTTACTCCGCTAAAATGTCTAATTATATCAACACTCAAGGCTCTCATATTCATATATATATATATATATATATATAGACACACACACACACTAGCTACTTCTTTTACAAGATTTTACCCCATAAGAGGATTAGTTTTAAACTTATTTATCTAAAAGCTTATTTTTTTGCTATGTAAGTTTTATTTTTATTTTTTTAAAAGGTGCATATATGCCAGCATATTTATTTTGTAGCTTACTTTCTTTTCATTGGTGCACATTGTTTGTCGTCATTTTACCATAACGCCTCTCAAAAAAATAAAAATAAAAATGAAAAAAATCCTGCAATTAATAAGTGTATGAAATCTTTTCTTAAAGTGCATATATCCTCTAATATATGTATATATAGTCCCTCCCATTTGCAATATGCACGGTTCCATGTTACTGTTGGCTGCTGCAATACTTCATTCGTGGTTCCTTTTAAAATTGAAAAATGTTTTCTGTTTTATTTTTTTATTTGAATTTTTTATTTTAAATTATTTTTTTATATTTTTAGATCATTTTGACATACTAATATTATAATAATTTTTTTTAAAATATTATTTTCATATATTTTTAAACAAAATATATTTTAAAAAATAACTATTTAAAAAGTTTAATATAGTTTTAATAACTCCCATTTGAATCATGTCATGTAAATTTTATTGAGGTATAATCTTGTAATCTAATCCAATTTACCTTAATCTTTAGTTTAATTTTTTTTATTGTATATTACACCTCAACTTTGCAATCTTTTTTTTTCTCTCACCTTCATTCTATTTACACCTCGAACAAGTATAGCTTCCCATGTCTATCAATTAAAACGGGACTCGAAAGCTCAGGTGAGCTTTGAAATTTGCCCTCCTATAATTAATTCAGATCAGTACTATCCTTAATTGGATAAAATGAATGATAAACTTGTGGGAAATCCTAGGACTATTGCTTGTTTTTTACCTGTTTAGAAGCTCAACATATTTCTTCTTCTACCTCTTCTGTTAACAGTTTGGGGAAAAAAACATAAAATTAAGATGAACTTCTTTTAATAGGAAAGCTCAAGACTGATCATCGCAAAGACTTTGGCAATAACGATGATGAGAAACTGACGTGCTGACAATTTGTCAATCTCAATTGCATCATTGTCCTCAAAGACAAGCAAAGTCTAGGAAAAACAATTAATGACTGCCAGGCGAAAATAATTGAAAAGGGAGTAAACACTTGAAAAAAAAAAAAAACGTGGCTCACAGTTTCCTTTCGATATCCACACACGTCGGAAAAGAAAAGGGGAAAAACAAACTTCTAGGAAACATCCTCCATAACTTAGTTGTTGAAAACGAGGATGTGTTTAGTACATGGTCAATTCGAATATTTATAAATTATATACAGCAGCTATCATCATTGTAATTAACGGTAAAATTTTAAATATTGAGATTGAACAACTACCAGCAGAGATCTTTCCCCTTTGAAATCTCTCACCGGGTATACAATATTTCTTGTATTATATAAAATTGTTAAAAAATAATATAAAATCATTCTTTAATCTTATTTTATAATTTACATTTCTAAATGAAGATGATTCTTTTATGTATATATATAAAAAAACAAATATTTAAAGTGATCAACGAATAAGCAAGGAGATGGGATTGCTTTTTGTTTATTAACTTATTACATTAATATTTATTATTTAATTCATTCACAAATATTTAGTTCATCAACTTAATTGATAGCATGTAAAACTGATTATACCACCACTTTGACAATGAAGTGCCACCACCGTTCTTCTTCGAGAAATTTCTCATATTTTGAAGGCCAACTGAGTGAGTGTATACCGTTTGGAAACATTGTATGTTTTTAAAAAATTTAAAATTTTTATGAAAAATAATTTTTTTATGTTTTCGGATAATTTTGATATATTAATCTTAAAAATAATATTTTTAAAAAATAAAAAAAATATTTTTATATATTTTTAAATGAAAAGCACTTTAAACTATAACTATAACAATAATTATAATCCCAAATAGATAATAAGAATGATATTTTTGCTAAAATTTGCTTAAGAGGAAGACACATTTCCAAGACAAAAGTGAAGCAATATTATTAATAATTGATATTGTGATTTTCTTTTCATTCATAATTTATATTATTTTTTTAATTAAATTTTCTGAATGAAAGAAAATTCATAAAATAGATTCGTTGTTAATATTATTTGTAATTTTTTGAATGTTATCATATAAATTGTAGTGAAAAGTTCATTTAATCACGGGACAGCTGTTTATTTTTATGTTAAGTATTAACTAATTCTTCTATATTCATCCCATGAGTGTATGATCTTAAAATTGAACGAAAGGTAGCTAGCCATCGAGCATACGTGGGTTAATTAGGTAGAGTAACTCCTTGCCTTTGGTAGTTAACGGTTGGTAATCCTTTTGTCTGCACAGTCAATGGCTTGTAACAGGAGTAAATAACTAACCTAATAAAATATATATAATGTAACAAATAATTGGACTCTTCTTACAAAAAAGAAAGAAATAAATCTGACTTCAAACATTATCATGATGTTATAGTGGGAGACCAAAAATCCTCAAGGTACTTTGAATGAAGCAGGAGTGCAGGCGCATGACTGGGAGTTTTAGAGGTCAAATCCTCGTTCATAT